TTTAATTTAATTTAATTTGGTTTTGCTTTAATTTAGTTTGTTTTATCTTACTTTGTTTTGTGTTATTTAATTTAATTTTATTTTATTAAATTTAAGTCTATACACCCTTTTAATTTAATTTTTCGATTTATATTATCTTATTTAATTTAATTTAATTTGGTTTTGCTTTAATTTAGTTTGTTTTATCTTACTTTGTTTTGTGTTATTTAATTTAATTTTATTTTATTAAATTTAAGTCTATACACCCTTTTAATTTAATTTTTCGATTTATATTATCTTATTTAATTTAATTTAATTTGGTTTTGCTTTAATTTAGTTTGTTTTATCTTACTTTGTTTTGTGTTATTTAATTTAATTTTATTTTATTAAATTTAAGTCTATACACCCTTTTAATTTAATTTTTCGATTTATATTATCTTATTTAATTTAATTTAATTTGGTTTTGCTTTAATTTAGTTTGTTTTATCTTACTTTGTTTTGTGTTATTTAATTTAATTTTATTTTATTAAATTTAAGTCTATACACCCTTTTAATTTAATTTTTCGATTTATATTATCTTATTTAATTTAATTTAATTTGGTTTTGCTTTAATTTAGTTTGTTTTATCTTACTTTGTTTTGTGTTATTTAATTTAATTTTATTTTATTAAATTTAAGTCTATACACCCTTTTAATTTAATTTTTCGATTTATATTATCTTATTTAATTTAATTTAATTTGGTTTTGCTTTAATTTAGTTTGTTTTATCTTACTTTGTTTTGTGTTATTTAATTTAATTTTATTTTATTAAATTTAAGTCTATACACCCTTTTAATTTAATTTTTCGATTTATATTATCTTATTTAATTTAATTTAATTTGGTTTTGCTTTAATTTAGTTTGTTTTATCTTACTTTGTTTTGTGTTATTTAATTTAATTTTATTTTATTAAATTTAAGTCTATACACCCTTTTAATTTAATTTTTCGATTTATATTATCTTATTTAATTTAATTTAATTTGGTTTTGCTTTAATTTAGTTTGTTTTATCTTACTTTGTTTTGTGTTATTTAATTTAATTTTATTTTATTAAATTTAAGTCTATACACCCTTTTAATTTAATTTTTCGATTTATATTATCTTATTTAATTTAATTTAATTTGGTTTTGCTTTAATTTAGTTTGTTTTATCTTACTTTGTTTTGTGTTATTTAATTTAATTTTATTTTATTAAATTTAAGTCTATACACCCTTTTAATTTAATTTTTCGATTTATATTATCTTATTTAATTTAATTTAATTTGGTTTTGCTTTAATTTAGTTTGTTTTATCTTACTTTGTTTTGTGTTATTTAATTTAATTTTATTTTATTTAATTTTTATCTTTTTATGTTAATTAATTTTGTTTAATTTAATTTAATGCAATTTAATTTTAATATAATTTTTTTAATTTATTTCAATTATTTTCGTTTTCCATTATTTACTTTATTTTATTTTTTTTTAATTTTAATAATAAGACAAAAAAATAAAAGAAAAGAGATCAGAGGAGAAGATCTTTGAAAGACTTTAAACTTTTCCTACAACTTCTGGTAACATAAGAATGGGAACTATTTTTCCGTTTTTCTTTTTTAATTCTATTCAATTTATTTTTATTTATTTTATTTTTTTTATATTATAATTTAAATTTTTTTAATTTAATTTTTTTTGTTTGATTATATTTCATCATATTATATTATTTAATATTTTATTTTTTCTGTTGAATACTTTTATTTAATTTTTTTTTTCATTTAATTAAATAAATATTATATTATTTTATTTTATTTTATTTTATTTTATTTTATTTTATTTTATTTTATTTTATTTTATTTTATTTTATTTTATTTTATTTTAATTTATTTTAATCTAAATTTTTTTGTTATTTTATTTTAATATTTCTTTATTTATTTAACTCTAAGAAAAACTTCTTCAGCTGTGCCAGAGCTTCATTACACCACTGTATAGGTGTATGAAATTTATAAAAGTTAACGCCAGTCCATCAAAAAAGAGTTAAAGGAAATTGTCACAGAATATTGATGAATACATGAATGATAGGCGGACACGATTCATATGTTGGTTGGGCGAACACATGGGTGTGAAAAGACATTGAAGGACTTGTGCGTAAAATTCTTTATGAGCTATTGACGTGTGTGAGGTTAACTGACACTTTTACCTAAAATAAATTAAAAGAAATATGAATAAAATCAAAATCTTCCAATAAAGAGAGTAATCAGTGCCAAGGTAAGCTATTGCAGAGAATAAAATTGAAATAAGCAGTTTTCTAAAAAAATATTCATCTGGTAGTAGAATCAAGCAATGATTGTCTTGCACAACTACATATATGTATATGTGGGTACATATGCATGTGTGGGTATGCCTACTCGTCATAAAATAAATAATACAAATGTGAAAATTGAATTTTATGCGCTTCAGCCTCAAATTAGTGGTCTGCACAAAACCACAAAACATCGCCAACGTTGCTGAAATTTAATATGCGGCACGTACTCGCGCATATAAATATATACGTACATATATAATATATGTAACATAAATATATATATATTACCTTTATGTATGAATAATGAGCACATAGTACATTCATTTCTGCACTACCAAGCAATCAATGTGCACCAGTGGTAAATAATCCCAAAAGTAGTATTAGATAGCCAAACGTATTGGTCGATTTGTAAATAGATTAGTAACATACTAGTCAAAACTGGACTAGTTACATAGAAGTCAGTTAATAATTAAATAGTAAAAAAAGTAGTTCAATTTGCCAAGTATCAAGTATTTCGCTTCCAAATGAACTATTATAAAATAGACCAGTTCCAAAGAGAACAATTCAATATTGACTGGTGTAAAGAGACCAGTTCAAAATTAACTGGTTCCATATAGATCTCTACAAAATGTTATGTAAATAAATAGTTTTGTAACTGTTCTTCATTCGGCCAAGTTCTTACTCTTCTTATGAAAGCCAGAAAATTCTAGTAGTAAACTAGTATCTTTTCTAACCGCAATGATGTCCCAACGCAGGGTAATCATGCCACCACTCTTGGCGGCATTTACAAAGTGTAGCCATCCGATATGAGCGCGTGTCATCAATTTCTATGCTAGAAAGTCAAATCGAGCGCCAGTGACGCCATCATCAAGGAGCAAATGACGACAGTTTAGTTATCATTCATTGGTTTATATCTACATACATACATACATATGTGTTGACAGCACAGCTGTATGGGCGCCACACATGTCCAGACATTGGATATCAACAAGTCACTTGATACATATAAATGTGTTTGTTTATGCATATATATATGTTGGTAGACATATTCCATATACCTACTTATGTACATAGGTATGCACACATATTCATAGAAAAATATAACAGGAATTGCTTAGTTGACATGAATAATATCAGTAGGACTTCCAGTCAATGTCTAAAGCATTAGCTTGACAGACGCGTGTGGTGTAGACAGGAAGTTGGGGGAAAAAAGACAGTAAGAGACTTTGCAGACAACGCTTATATGTACTGAGTTTTGTCTACAATTCCTAAAGCTAACATAATGCGAATGCCACAGAAATCTGTAGCTTTTGTTATACATAAATAAAATATAGGATTTTCGACATAAATAAGGTCGTTGGAAGATTCCCCGGGGAGACTAGAAATAACGAGATTATACATATGTATATGTTATTATATACATACTTATATGCACGTATATATATGATAATGACGGAAACGATGATAATGAGATAGTATTGAGTGTGGATTAAAACGACGGCCAGACATCATTGGAAGGGCTTCAAGCCTTTTGTTGTTTCGCGAGTTCTAGTCATGGTCGGGCTTGGATTCACTTAATGACCGGAGAGAGATTGAAAAACTCCTGGTATTCCAAAAATCCACTCGATTGGTAGATAGAAAGTATAATGCTAGGTGGTCAGAAGCTTGCGTTTTACTACGTTTGTACTAGGAGTTCTCGTCTTTTGTTTAGAGCTTATGGTAAGATCATCCTAACATCTACTGATACTGAAGCTCGGAATGGCGTATTTTGGCGGAGCTGATTTTTAATTTTAAAATGTGACGCTTTTAAGCACTCTGAATTTTGATAATTTTTTTTAAATTTTTTCCGAAAAAAGATGTGTAGCTTAAAGCTTGCTGTGGGAAAAGCTCATAAAAAGCTCTGGTTTGAAAATATTTATATATACATATACGAGTATATATGTATATTCATACTAAATGTAGTGCATTTTGATCTTAAGAGCTTTTTAGCTGTAAAATGCTAAACTTAAAAAAGCTTTTTACAAATGTAATTTTTTTGTATTCGGATTTTAATTAAGATGGGTAAGGTGTAATAATCACAATAATGAGCTTTCCATGAAGGTTTTTAAAACCTAAACCTTTAGTCTCTGAAACATTTTATATTATAAACATTTAATTATTCACATTTGTTTTAATCTATAAATATTTAATTTAAATTAGTTTTCTCCAATTCATTGTATACAGTTTTTAGGGAAAGCTTTAAAGTGCTCAGTTCTCTAAAGTTTTTGAATTTTTTTTTTGAAATCTGTTTCACACTTTTGCAACCTAACTATCCGGCTTTTAAAGTTTTACATGCATTTAAAGCTTTCAAAAGCTTTTTCTTTCGACTTACATTAAATCGTGGTTAGGTGCATAAATTAAAAGTTTCTTAAGCAGAGTTCAAAGCTTTGGAGCTTTTAAAGCTTTTTTGGATTATTTTGTTATAATTATTTTTATTTATTTCATTTTAAGTAGTTGCTTAAGAAAGCGTATTCTTTACTGTTGCATATTGATTTTTTAATATTGTTATTTATTATGTTAAAAAAGAACAAAAAAGAAAGTACAAAGCTTTATTATTTTAAGAATTATTCCCAGTGTTGAAATAAACTTCCACCACATTGCACAATTAAATTGCATATTAAACTTTTTTTAAGCATTAAATAAACAAAAAGAAAGATTTCAGTTATCTATAAATACCGTTAAGTCCACGCTGACCTCAAAATGTGAATTATATAAGAAGCAAGTGAAAGTAAAGGCGATTCAGTGCATTTTCGTTTCTCAACACGGAAATTTTCGTGTAAACAAAAGCACGTAAAAGCTATCGATATGAAGCTTTTCTTGAAGAGCACGCTGTTGCTGCTGTTAGCCACCAGTGCCTTAGCGCAGAGCTGGCTACCAAAATCTGATGGGCTATTACTGGAGCAACCCGACCGCATCAATTGGCTGCCCGTGTGGGCGGACGATCAGAAACCCGCAGAACTGAGACAGATTGAACGGAATCCAGTATTCAAGGCGCCAGCAAATCCAATACTGTCGCTCTTTCCCATAAGGCCACAGTGTGAGTTGAGTTTGATTTTTTTGCACCAAAGTTTTTCTTCTTCTGTTCTACAACCTCTGATTACTTTCAGTAAATCTCGGTCCCTGCGATGCACCCAACGGCATGGGTATGCGCAATCTCTTCCAACAGGCGCAGGCCTTGCTGCCACGCGAGCGTATACGCGCAATTATACTCGGTGCTGCCGAGGATCCAGAGTTGCAGGCACTAAGTAAGCTCGTACACTCGCCGGAGTATCGTAAACGCACTGCGAGTCTCAGTCGCTCGCGTGCCTACAAAGGTTATCGCGATTATGCCTGCTATAAAATGAATTGTGATATGAAGTTGTATTCGGATTTCATAAGAAATTTACTACAATTGAGCGTCTTAACAGAGCAGCCGAAAAATGAGACGGTGGTGCCGCACAAGGGACAGCCGGGCATACGTGGCATCCTGCAGGATATACGTGACGTCCTGCCACGTCAACGTCTGCGTGATTTATTCGAGCGTTTAATGGTGAGTGATTGGTATTTGATGCGGGCTGTGCAGCGGGCCGCGAGCTATGAGTTCGAAGCCATTTTCAAGGTGCTACAAAGGAATCCGGACTACGAGTATCTGCGGCGTGCTCAAACTGAGGTCGGCATGCCTGTGGAGGAGTTGAAGAAATTGATTTACTATGCGCTGGGTTGGCGCGATGATGCGCAGAATGCAACTGACAATCTCTTCATAGATGTTTGAAAAAGAGAGGGAGAGAGGGGTAGGGAAAGAGAGAGGGAGTGAGAGAGAGAGAACAAGAGAGCTTTGGAGGGGAGAGAGAGGGAGAGAAAAAGAGAGAAAGAGAGAAGAGAGGGTTCAAACTGAGTGCGTAGCTTTACTATAGAGATTTTTTCCATTTTTATTTTATGATATTCTGTTATTGTAAATTGAATAATTTGGTGGTAGTTTGTAATTTTAAGAAATCGTTGTCATACTGTTTAGTTTAGCAATAATTTGGTTATCCTTCAACGCATCTTCATCTTTAAGTTTACGAGTGGATATACTTAATTTTTTTAGATGAAGATATTGCCAAACCTAAATATTCTTGAACAAAAAAAAAATTGTTAAACATAAAATATTGCTTAACATGGAAAATTTCTTAACATAAAATATTGCTAGGCATAAAATTTTGCTAAGCATAAAATATTTTGGAAGAAAAAATATTGTTAATAAAATATTGTGGAACATAAAATTTGCTAAACATAAAAAATTTCTTAACATAAAATTTTGCTAAGCATACAATATTGCTAAAAATAAAACGTTACGAAACATTAAAAATAATTGTTTAACATGAATTACTGCTAAAAATAAAAAAATGCTGAACATAAAATATGGCTAAAAATATTTCTTAACATAAAATATTGCTTAACTTAAAATATTGCTGAACATAAAATGTTCAACCTAAAGCATAGTTGAAAATAAAATATTGCTAAACATAAAATGTGGTTAAAGATATTTCTTAACATAAAATATTGCTACACATGTTTTCGGGTCAAAATAAAATGTTGCTAAACATAAAATATTCAACCTAAAATATAGCTAAAAATAAAATATTGCTTAACATAAAATGTGGTTAAACATATTTCTTAACATAAAATATTGCTACACATATTTTCGGGTTAAAATAAAATGTTGCTAAACAAAAAATATTCCATCTAAAAAACAGATGAAAATAAAATATTGCTAAACATACAATGTGGTAAAACATATTTCTTAACATAAAATATTGCTACACATATTTTCGGGTTAAAATAAAATGTTGCTAAACATAAAAAATTCAACCTAAAATATAGCTAAAAATAAAATATTGCTAAACATAAAATGTGGTTAAACATATTTCTTCACATAAAATATTGCTACACATAATTTCAGGTTAAAATAAAATGTTGCTAAACATAAAATATTCAACCTAAAACATAGCGGAAAATAAAATATTGCTAAACATAAAATGTGGTTAAACATATTTCTTAACATAAAATATTGCCAATCATAAAATATTGCTACACATGTTTTCGGGTTAAAATAAATTGTTGCTTAACATAAAATACTTTTCTTCAAAAAAAAAATCTTTTGACTGTTTTATAAATAAAATCATTTTTAACTTAGCATTATACAGTATTATACTTTTAATCAGCGTGCTCTACATTTTTGCAGACAAATCTTACCTGTACATGTGTAAGGGATTTTTCCAAAATCTCTGCATAAACCACTTGAAGTCTATTTTCTGTAGAAGTAAAGCCAACTGATGACTTTAAAAAACCATTAAAATGAATTCTCGAAAAAATCTCATGCTATACCGCCCACTACCAAGCCATATCATATGTATGTATATATGTAAAAATAGGTACATATTTATAGGCACGGTGTGTACATGTAATATAGTAGTATATATATATATATGTATGTTTTACACGTATTTAAATGTATTTGCCCTAAATGGTTGCCCCTTTTTTGATGCCGCCCCAACACAAATTAACACCGAAAAGGCACGCACCACACAAATTGAAAGACTAAACAATGCAAAGATGTGTGTGTATACGTGTATATGTAAAAAAGCCTGAGAATAAATCAACTTCATTGTATTATTGAGTGGCAGTCTTCTAATAGAATGTTTTACATGTATATATGTATATTTTTATATTCAAATGTATGTATGTATGTATGTTTGTATGAATATAGCAAATGTACTGCGAACGCGCCCAGCTGTTGTTTACTCAGCGACGTGCAACAACCGGCAATGTGTAAGGAGCGTGAAGCTCACTCGTCGAAATTATTGCAGACTTTATGATAAAAATATATACTCAGATATATGTATGTAGGTGCATGAAGACATATGAACTTTACTCGTAGATTCTACCTTTCCAAATTTTATAGATTTATGTACATATATACATACATAAGAATATGTACTTCTCAGTTCTTGCCATTTACTCTTTCGTCAATTTCTTAATATGTTTGCATTCATCACTCCCTGCATTTATTTATTTACTTTGACGCCGACTGCATTGTAGCGTATATATTTTTGAAGCGAATTGATGAAACAAAGTGCTTAAAATAAATAAATATAAATACCCTTTTTCACCTGGCGGCATGTGGGTGTAAAACTTCCAAAACAATAGACTTAAAAATGATTATTTTGTGTCTAGTCTGTAACTAGTTTGTAAGTAGTGAGTGCAAGGTACAGTCTGTCATAAGTTATAGGGAGGAAAAATCCAACTGTCCAACTTTTTCATTCATCCATGTACTAATTCTGGTAATAAGTAATACAAATTGGTATCGAGGAAACCTGATTATGTTGAATGTTAACTTGAACTAGTTGCTAAGTAGTTACTTTGTAAGCGTTTGCAAACTATACACCAAGATAGTAGTGTAAATTGCTTTTTAAGAGGTAAACAACACTATATTTTTGGAACAATCTTAAGAAAATTAGGGTTTCCCGCAGAAACTAGTTACCAAGTAGTTTCTTTTTAAGTAGTTAAACAACTAATTTAGTGTTGGTAAGTTATTTTTTATGTAGTAAATGTCAACAATAGAAAAATTACTAATTTTTGAAACAGTCTTCATGAAAGTCACTATTTCTGTACAAACTAGTGGTTAAGTAGTTACTTTGTAAGCCATGGAAACACTAATTATTTATTGATAAATCGCTTTACAGAAAGTTAAGAACAAATGATAATTTTAAAGTAACTTTTTTTAGACCCTTCCTAGCAAAAGTGACATTCCCTGCATAAACTAGTGGCTAAGTAGTTATTTTGTATGTAGTTGAAAAACTAATCTGCTGTAGAAATGTGTCAACTCAGAGAGTTGGAAAATAAATTCAAAATTAACTCATATAGGCTAAGCAACTAATCATTACGAATTTTTCAATTCATATACAAACAAATAGGTCCTTCGTTCACTAACTTATAACAACAAAAGAGAGAATTTAACCTAAAAAATTTGAAATAAAAAAATAAAAACCGAAACGTAAGCGTCCACTTGCATGAAAATTTACCTTAAACTGATGTTAATATGTTTGCGGAAGTCAGCAAATAATATTTAACTAGAAACTTTACAGCCCTAGTAGTGGTCCGTTATGAACTACTTTCTGGTATAGTCATAAAATCAAATTTTTTCCTCTTTTTTGCTATAGTCAAAACAAAATAATAAGGTTTAGGTAAGTTGAAACAATTAAAGGATTTTATAATTAAGTATTTTTCTCATTTTTTTACACAGAAGTTGAGCGCAAAAACTTGACCGAAGCAAAAAAATGGAGATGTAAGTAAATGGAGATGTGGCGAAATTTTTTAAAAATGCCAATAAATTGTGTTCTGACATCTTCTAATAATGATTCACAAAAACCCTACGCAGGACCAGTACTCGTCCTTGGTGAACCACTTTTTGGACCACTCACAACAAACTTACTTTTTGCCCGCTATGCATATTAAATTCAGTATCAAAGTTTATTTTTGGCACCCTGGCTGCAAAATGCCACTTACTCAATCACCCAAGCATTGCCACACTACAACATGCAACACGCAACACAACAGACACAGCACTGTGGAAGACCAAAAGATCTACTGGCGACCACGAAGTGCATGTAGACAGCAGCCACTTGAAGCTGCTACTAAATTTTTTTGTTTTGTATTGTGTTGGAACAGCTAGCAGCTTACTGGACTGCTGTTGCTGCTACTGTTAGTTGCACAATTAGTTGTTGCTGTTGGCGTTGTATGTTGTCACTGACGGGCTGCCGGGCTGCCGTGCTGCTGGGCTGATGTTTACTGCATGTGACGTCAAGATTTGTGTTAAACAAGGTACTCGGTGTGTATACTCACACAAATGTTCGCATGTGTGTGTGTATGTGTGTGTGTGCTTATGGGTGCATTATTGCGGTGTGGTGTTGAAGGGATGCAGTGTTGTGGAGTTTTTTTTATTGCTTTTTTATTTCTATTTTAATTTTTTTTGTACATACATATGTACATACGTTTATTACTTAAACATGCTTACTGCGAAAACTCGATATTTCGTTCATTACAATGCAAACTCAATACATACATACATACATTAGTTTGTATGTATATGCAACTTGTGTGTGGTATAAATTGTCTACCAACTTGCCGCCAACTGTCAGTCACAGTTTAGACATTTTCATCTGCTATCCGACCATTACATACATATATACATATCTACATTCGCGTACTTGTACGCACACAATTTATACATATTTACAAGTATTATATTTAAATTTAGTGATTCCCTTGCAATGCACAGCTTCCAAAAAGAAATACCCTCTGTATATATATACCTATGTATGTATGTTTGTCAATTTTCGAGTTTTAATGATTTTGACCCTGAACGCATTCTTCTATTCACTTTAATGTAAACATTACAACTTTTTTATTACTTTTTTTTCGAAATGTTTATTTTCAATGAAATTTACTAAGCACATTTACGGTTATACATAATTTGTTTTATGCGTCAAATCAAAGATATTTGGAGTCTTGCAATGCGCGCAATAAATGTTGCTTAATGGCAATGTTGCGCTACATGTTGCGGTGCAACATAATTGCGACATCTGAAGGTTGCATAATGAATGAAACAAAGCCTGGTAGGGAGGATTATTTTATTTCATCTTTTTTAACTGATTTCGTTTTATTTTATTTTATTTTATTTTATAATATTTTATTTTAATTTATTTTGTTTTATGATATTTAATTTTTTTTACTTTATTTCATTTTATTTTGTTTTATTTCGTTTTACTTTATT